TTTTTCCCTTTCCCATGTGTTTTAGAACCACAAGAAATTCTCACCAAGTTTAAAATGAGCTTTTGATGAAAAGCAGTGAGAGAATTCGTGAGTTAAAGTTACCTGTTGCAGTACAAACATAACTGCGTTAAGGGGAAAATGATTTGCGATGTCTGCTTCGGAAGAGAAGGAAGAAATCGGTTGTGTTGCAAACGGGGACAAAAGAAATGGTCCCGAAAAGTTGCTGGTGCAGGGGGAAAATTTTCCAAGCGCTGAGGTAGTTTTTTCAGTCAGTTATTCTGAAATATTGAGCTGGGTGTGAAAGTCCTTGGGTACTTTGGAAAAGTCACTGAAGTTCGGGGTTTTTTCAGCTCCCACAAGGAAAGGGGGAGACGGTGCTGCGTGAGTGAGGTGTGGAAGACTGTGTTTTAGTGAAAAGCAGATAAATCTTTGCTTTCCCAGTGCCTTGACGCCATTCCCCATGAGGTCAAGTGCTCTGTCAGTCTCTCGAAACACACTCGTGCTGGATGCCGGGTACAAAGATACTCTTATTGACATACGCGTTGGCTTTGGGTTGTTTGTTTAAGCTTCCTTGTAGGGCAAATATAAAGGAATAGATAAATGGGAAGAATTCCTTTATTTTCTTTTGAATACGCTGTTGTTCACCTGGGCAGCTTTGATGGAGGGGTTTGAAGGGAATTCAGGAGGAAGAGCTGCCTCGCGCGTGTGCTCAGAGCCGGCTCTTAGATCTGCGTTAGCGTTTGAGCGATGCTGCGGGAACCCGGTTTGTTCGTGTTCGGTGGTGGCTAACCGAGGGAATTGTCTTGCATAAAGTCCCCATTGTATTTCCCCTCCTGTCTAGCTAAATTTTGCCGTCGCTGCGTCCTTGAAAGGAATTTTCCATTACCCTTTCATTGACTCTTCTCTCCCTCGTGGAAGGAAAGCAATAGCTTAGTGGGAAGTCACAGTACCAAACTCATAATTACAAGTTCAGCAAAGATCCATAATTGGACGAGATCATAACTCTAATAGAGAAGGATGCGTCGTCAGACATGGTTAATTCTTACAATGATGTTCCTGTATCGATTTCGCCATGGTTGCGTGTCATTGCAGGTGCTGTGCAGTAGTTATCGGGTCCAAGGAGAGAGATTCCTTGGGGTTTCTCTCCTTGGATTAGGTTTTGCAGGATTGAGCCTAATTGCTCAAGGCGTTGATCCCAGCCGATGCGATGGGAAGTTTCCACTTAGGTGGCGCATAGGTTTGGGTTAAGTGGCCGTGGGCCTCTTGTGTCTCCTGTAAAAGAAAGACTGCGGGTTTCGTAGTGCCTTGGCAAAGGTGTTTTAGAGGGACGTTCCCACAGGTAAATATCGAGGGAGGGAGAGCTTGTTCTGGGCGCTCAGGAGCAGCAGACCCATTGGTATCGGGTTTTCAATGCTGGAGTAAACGGACAAGTAAATGCGATCAGTCCGGGCACAGAGGCACGGCCGAGGCATCACCTTCTGTGGTCCCAGCACGCCGCACCACGCTTCTTCCCAGCTTCTTGGGCTGTGGGACCCCCTTCCACTTACCTTCCCCTGTCTTTGGAAAGTCTCCAGAGAAGTTAGAGGCAGGGAGAGCGCAGGAAACAACGCAGAGGAGATTTTCGCATGGAGCCTTGGTCCTTGTCAGCTGTTGGGCTCAGCCCCATCTCTGGGATTTGAACTGGGAGAGGCAGTGCCGGTCACTGGTGTCTCTGGGGAGCTGGCTCATGCCAAGAAGCTCTGTTCATACCCGTCTCCAGTGGGACATCCCTTTTCTTCACCACAGCCCTGTGCCTGTGTGCCCCCGCCGGTTCTCCACCCTCTGCTTCTTTTTGATGGATCAGTGTGACCTCCGCTCTGGGTGGCAGCGCTGACGGCTGGCTCCAAGGGAGCTGGAATTGGGAATTAATGTCCCGCTTTTCCAAGTGAAACGCGTCCCGAGAGAGGCTGTCAGGCTCCATGCTGGGAGGTTGGAGGGACCCTCAGCTGGGGCCGGGGGTGACTGGTTTCCTCCTTCCTGCCGACCCTCGGTGCTGACTCCACGAGGTTTTTCCAGAAATGATGTTTTTTTGCAACTTGTCCCCTGGGAGAATGGGGAAGCGTGGGAACCTCCTCGCTATGATACACGGAGGGCTCCTGTCCCCAGGGCTGTCAGTCATCACACCTTCCACCAGCGCTGAAAATCTCTGCCAGAGAGAACCTGCCAGTGTTGTAGCGATGCTAATCCACATCCCCAGCTGCCCATCGCGGGCGATATTGAGCTTTGATACCTACTCAGTTCCTCTCTTCTCCCGAGCGGCGTGAGATGTGTTCAGTCAGGTCCTCCTCTGAGTTCAAGAGGAAAGTATTAGTAGCAAAAAAAAAAAAACCCAAAACCAAACACAAAAACCCAAACCAAACCCCCAAACCAGGGATGCGGAGCGCCTGCACAAACCTCACTTGCACGGTCCATCGCTCCTGCTCCATCCCCCCTTGCTCCGGGGTGATGCTTGCCTCCGGCCCAGCAAAATATATTCAGCTCCGGCTCTGATTTTGCAGCCCTGTGCAGAGTCTGCCCGGTGGCTGTTCAAATAGAGAGAAAGATGGAGTAGAAGGGGGCAAAAGAAGCGGCATCATAACTCTAAGGCCGTACCAGGATCCCCGCAGCGTTGCGCTGGTCCCAAGGAGTCGGTGAGTCTAACGAGCCCCCCCCCATCTCACTGGTGGGGAGGGGAAGGGCATGAGTGAGTCTCCCCCACCTCTGTCTGCCGCTGTGGGCACCGGAGCAGCTGCTGTGTGACACAGAAATGTTCCTGCTCCTTCAGAGCCTCTTCTAGGAGAAGGTTTCTACAGGGTAAATGAAGAGTAAATCAGCATCAGGGCGGGTGCTGTGCAGCAGCCTTGGGGAAACTGAGGCAGGGAAAGCGATGGCATCGTGCGGAGATCCTGCGAGGGGCTGAGCATCCCAACCCCATTCGCCTTGGACACCTGGAGAGCCTCTGACCCCTCCTGCAGCCGGCCGTTGTCTGAGCCCCTGGGACCTGCCGGGGTCCCGTGTCTGAGTCCCTGGGACCTGCGAGTCCCTGGGGCCGGGGCTGGTCTCGCTCCCCCCACCAGGCGGGAAGGTCAGGGATGGAGAGCTGCTGGAAACCCGGATACGAAGCGGAGCGCTGGGTGCGAGCGCAAAGCGATGCTGTTGATGCCGTGATGGTTGAGATGTGCTGGAGGGTGCCCGGCACAGTGTCCCTGCTGGGGTCTCTCATCGAGTGGCCTCGGCGGGCTGCTGCTCTTCGGGCATCTGCTTCAGCCCAAGCTGGACCACCCCGAGCCCGCTCCTCCACGCTCGGGTCTGGGATGGCTTCACCCCTCTCGGCATCACCAGTTAAAAGAGGAGGGGGAAATATACCCCACCCTGTCTTCATGCATTGCTTTCGGTCCATCCCAACAACCTGCTGCCATCCCAGCAGAGCTCCCCAGCATCCCGCGGAAGGCAGGACGTGGTTTTGGGATGTTCCCCGGCTGAGGTCTCCCGTGAACGAGGCACCCGGCTGTTTCTGTAGCACGCGGTGATGGTTTAGACAAATTAGCAGAGTCCAATTATGTACCTTGGATTGGTGTCAGCCGCGCGTGTGTGTGCGCGCGTGTGTATGCCTCGCTGGCTGGCGAAGTCTTCTGAGGGCTGTTAGAGAAATGAGAAGCTGAGCTTTGATCTGCCTCTGTATTTGGTGTTTAAAACAAGGCCTTTTATAAAGGAATATTAGGTATTCGGAGTCTGTTACATATGAAGAAGCTTCGCTTTGATCCTCTCCTGTCTCCGGAGGCAGCAGACACTTATTATTTCATGGGGAACTAAACGAAATGCAGAATGAAGTTTGGGTACTGCTCTCCGTGCTCTGCCGGTGCCCCCGGTCCCGCCGGGGCTGAGCGAACGCTGTGGGCAGCACGTCGCCCCGTCTCT